CTCAACACATCCACTGAAGTAACTCGATTACTCTCAGAGGCGCTTTTACATAATGCACCTCCCATCAGGTGTAAATTGTGTGCTCAGTCATTCAGCACAGAACCCAGCATCTCCCCTCTAATATAACTTTACACACAGCTAATGAACATGGTTTCCCAATGAGTGACTGCACCAGTCAATAAAGAACCGAGCAATCCTACCTGCCCATGCTGCCACTGCTGCCTCTGGAGCCAATTAGCCCGCTCCTTCCCAGGTGCTGCGGGAATACATTTCCCAAAGTGGTTCTCCTGCTCACCCTGGGGTTATCTTTCTCTCAGTCTCCTGCACAGAGGGCATGCAAAATAGGGAAGGCTGTGGCAGTTCCATTGACAGGCTAGACAGCTTAGTGTTGGGAACTGGGGACATGATTTAAATTCACCATCCAACTCCAATGCCTTGATCCAAGCAAAGGGATGTAGGGTGATTTGGGGATGTGAGGAGCCCCCACCATTCCTGATGCTCTGAAAAGCAAGGAAGCTGCAGAGAGAACAGGATGATATTTATCTCAGGCCTCTCAAGGTTTAAATGCTACCTGACAGGTACAGATCCAGGAAGAAATGAAAGTACATGTCTGGTTGGCATCTATCCTTTCTCCTGCTCACCCCTGTGGTGAAATCCCAGTGAGGTGTAAAGGAACAGTCCCTGTGCTGGGAGTCAGGATGGATGGGCAGTGACTGCTTAGGTAACTTGAGGCGGGAAAACTCTCCAAGATCTTAGTTTGCTCTCCTGTGGAATTTATGCTCTGCCTCTCTCCCTGGGCTGCCGAGAGGACCAAATGATAAAATACCTGTGAAAATACTTTGTAAAGTAAACCTCTGCACAGATATATAGTGTTGAGTGGATAATGTGGTGAAGTGGAAACATCAATGGCCAGAAGTCAGCAGATTAGAGCCCTGAATTATTTTCTGCTCAGCTCTGCCACTTAACTAGCTCAGGGACCTTGGACACATCACACCAACTACATGGGACTCAGTTTTCTCATTGAGGAATTGGTGAAGATAAAGCCTACTTCATAAAATTGTTTGAAAATTAAAAGAGGGAGTGGGTGTGAATGTTTATAAAACTGTGGAGTATTATACAAATGGAAGGAATTACTTATTATTGCCTATGTTGATTTAATTGTGGCTTTAATCCAACTCTTCCTTGTCCCTGGGCATTTCATTTGCATTTTATTATTTTCCACTAGTTTTTATGCTGCTTTTTCTTTAGTTTGAAAAATGCATCTTCTGTTTTAAGTCTTCTCAATGAGACAATAGGTTCTCAGTCAGAGCCCGCATTGGGCAGGTCTGCAATGGGTTCTTCAATCACAGTTGAAGGATTTGTATATAGTCAGTGCTTAAAATGCTGCAGATCCACCTGAAGTCACTTGAACACTCAGGCAGACCTTCTGAGTGTTACCTCATTTCCAAGAAAGATGCTAGTGGCCCTACTAAAGGAAAGAAAAAAAAAATGAACCCAGAGAGTTATTCTTTCTCTTCCTTACTTGACATCCTTTTTTCTTTGATTTAATGAATGAGTCTGGTTCCCTAAGCCAGTTGTGTGAGCCAGTCACTCATTAGAATTCTCTCCTAGCAAGGGAGCCAAATATTTAGTGATGGAGCCTTTTTATAACTAATGGAATGAGACTAGAGGAGCTATCTCTTGAGTAAAAGTCTCTGTTCTAGTCTAATATACTATCTTCAACTGAAAGATTAGTGGGATTAAAATACCTTTATTTCTTCAGATTAGAAATATCAATGCTTTAGTTTCATATCAATGAAACATTCAGGCTACAAATCATTGCATTTATATATAGTTTTGAATAGGATTGATTTCCATATGTACTAGCAACAGTGAGTCTTGTGTCTGGTGCAAGCCTGCTAGGAAAAACTCTCCATTTCTAGGTCTATTAATTACTATTGTTTCTTCGAGGTGCAAAGCACTGTGCTGAGCTTTGTGGGAGACATAAAGAAGGGGGGAGATATGGTCCCTACTCCTACCCACATAGGGTATGCATTCCAGGGGCATAAGGTTGCTGAAGGTATGTTACTTTGCAATTACTAATGAATGCTTTCTTTTAGTATGTGGGGGCCTAGAGTCAAATCCAGCCGTGGGCAAACTACGGCCCGCGGGCCGGATCTGGCCCGTTTGAAATAAATAAAACTAAAAAAAAAAAAAAAGACCGTACCCTTTTATGTAATGATGTTTACTTTGAATTTATATTAGTTCACACAAACACTCCATCCATGCTTTTGTTCCGGCCCTCTGGTCCAGTTTAAGAACCCATTGTGGCCCTCGAGTCAAAAAGTTTGCCCACCCCTGGTCAAATCCCATGACTTCAGGTCTCCATGTTTTTTTTCAAGTAACCCAAACCTTGGTACAGAGGGTCATGCTCCTTTTCCTGTTTCTTCCACAATAACATTTGCCACAATAATATTTGTTAAATTTCTGACTTTTCAAGGAATCTCTGTGATGGCTGACAGCATCACTGATGTTGAGAAATTATGGATGAGAGATAACAACAGTAAAAGGAGGCAGGGATGTTAAGACCAGGCAGGAGCTAATGTGATGGAATCAAGGTAAATTTTTTTTGGATTGAAAGTAATTTATGTAGTCCTGATCATTTAAAGCAATTTTCCAAGACTGTGCTGATGGATTCCGCCCCGCCCTGCTCTCTTCCATCTCTAATCTATTTCATTAAGTCACTGGGTAGAGGCTTGTGAATGCCCTTGGATTCACTATTACAAGCTATTAGATTGAGACTCCAATGGTAAGTAGATTCAAAAGTTCAAAGTTATTTCAAATGTTCCCACAAATACACAATTTCTTTAATTATAGAAGCCCAACTTACTCAAGTCCCTTGAGAAAATTAACAGGAAAAGAGCTGAAGCTCAAAGCCAAACCACACTCTGAATGCATATTGTAAGCAAGTTTCTATTTGGATCTAAGGGTAGCTTTCCTTCCTTGTGATTAATATGCAAACAAACTGAGTGCCTGCACAGTTAATGGTTCATGGTGTGTGTGTGTGTGTGTGTGTGTGTGTGTGTAGAGGAAGACACAACACCAAGGGAGGGTGAGAATTGGTAACATGAATAAACTACTGATGAGCCCTATAAACTACTGATGAGCTCTAACACTGTATCTGATTAAACAGGGTATTGTACATGGGCAGAGTGTAAGGGCTTTTTAATTTTACAAATTTTAACAAAGGAAAACACAACACATGCCTATTTTGCTGGAAAGTTTCCAGTTTGCTATTAAAAGATGTATGGATAAATATGCATGAAGCACAGTGTGATTTCCTGGTCTGCTCCCCACCTGGTATCTTCAGTGAGGAGATTTGGGGTGGTGGTGAGTGAAGGACCGGTCCTCTCCAGGCTACCTCTCCACCCCCAGAGCTGCTTCCCAGGAGATAGGAGAAAGGTTATATTTTCAACCTCCTTAGCCTTAAGGTGATTAGTATGTTTTCTTTTAAAAATGAACACTTTTTTAGTATAAACAAAGGTCAGAGAGTAAGTAGCTTAATAAGCCCTCATGTACCCATTGGCTTCAACAATTACCAACACTTGCCAATCTTATTTCATTCATGACTACCCCCAAGCCCCCTTTTTTGGAGTATTTTTTAAGGAAATTCAAGAGATGTTTTGTAACTTGTTAACACTTCAAACTAATGCATTCAAACTAATAACTTAAAAAAAGTTATATATACCTGATGCCATTAATACATCCATAAAATTCCAATAAATAATATTACCTAATACCTAGTTTATATTCAGTTTTGCTAATTGTCTCCAAAATGTCTTTTTAGCTTTTTTATTCCCCAGTGAAAATTCAAACAAGTTCCAACCAGTGCATTTAGTTGATTCTCTTAAATCTTTTAATCAACTCACTTTCCATGCCATTGATTTGTTGGAAAAACCGGTATTTGTACCCCCAGTGGATAAAAATGGTTTTTGGTGGAAGAAAGACCACTGGATAGGGGACAGGTGACGCATGCTCAAGGCCCAGCTCTGTTCGTAATGATCAGTTTAACCCTGGGATAGCGAGTTGACCTTTCTGAGCCTCAGAATAAAAGCATTCAACGAAGTTGTCTTTGAGACTCCTTTTTTAAAATAGAGGAAACAGGACAGAAATGGCTGCTTTTCTATGTGCCAGACCCTCACATTCTCAAACCCCTACAAGGCAGATATTGTTTCTATATCCGAGAAAAACAACCAAACAGCCAAATCCAGCCAGACTGAAGAAAGCGGACCTTCCTCAACCAGCGGACCTTCTGACGTGAAGCCTTTCTGAAACTACAGGGAGAACAAACGCCAGGAGGCCTGGAGAGGCGTCACAAGTGGCCCGGGGTTATTCTCCTTACCTCAAGCTTTCCTACCTCCTTGACCGCAGCAGTTCATTCCTCGCCCATGGACAGGGCATGCAATGTCTGAAGCTCCTTCATTCTTGTGCAATGCATTACGGTTTAAGTGAGAAGATTCCGGGACCATGGAACAGGAGAGTGGGAAGGGACCTGAGCGCTCATTTACTCAACTCCACGTGTGATGCGCAGATCGCCCCAGCACTCCGCCTCCCAGTGCAGGCAACTCGCAGCTTCCGGCTGCTGGCGGCGCCTTCCAATGCAGGCGGGCCGCACAGACACCTTCCTCCCTCCAGATTTTGTCTTCCGGAACCCCCACGGCTCGGGCCTGGCTCTGTTGATTGACTTTTCATTTTTGAAAACGGCTTATTTTTCCACCAACCGTATTTCCGTTTTCTGTGTCAGAGACTGTGGAAGACTCGCTGAAGAGCACCGAGGCTGTTCCTGCCGGGTTGGTGGCCCGTGTGGAGGGGGCGAGGCCCAGTCCTCAGGGACAGGCCCGGGCTCCGTGTCCCGTGGGGAACCCTGGCGCCTCCGACCTGCTACGGCCTCAGTGGAGTAGCAGTAAATTTGGGAGCTGGAGCCGTCCCTCGCGCTGAAATGTCCCCTTGGTTACAGCCTTTCAGGCAGCGGCCTGCTCTTCCGTTTCAGTCTCTTCCGCATCCCCGCGGCCCGAGAGATTTGCCAGGACCTCCCGTGGGTGTTCTCGCGAGAGCGGCCCGCGCAGGCGCAGAACATTGGCCGCCGCATGCACCGCTTCAGACCCCGCGACGGAGCGCCCTTGTTGTTGCTGGTCAGGTTGGTAATGTCCGCACGGGTCCGAGCAGACTCGGTTACACAGCCAGGGTAGGCAGGCAATGAAAGACGCCTCTGCGAGGGGCTGGTGGCCACATAGGAGCAGCAGCCACGGAGGTCGCGGCGCCCGGAAAGCTGCTTGGACCTGCTTCTGGAAGCTTCCAGGAACCACCCGGCCTGCAATAGGAGTGGTTCTCGCGCAGCAATAGCTTCGACACAGCTGGCTGGCTGGTTTTCCTGGAGGATAGGACCCTGTCATCAGCGGGGTTTTCAGCGGTAACAATGGCACGAGCTGCCCGCGGAAGGTTCTCTTCAGATTACTGATGTAGATGCCATCACGCTTCCTTTTGTAGGTGAACTGTTCTATGTGGAAGTCAAAGTTGGTGCTACCTAAGTGGGTTTCTGTTGCAAAGAATTGGAGGACACCCTCCTCCTTAATTTGCAGGGCGTCAACGGCTGCGAACATTGTGAAAATTTCCCTTTAAGTTAGGAGGGGAAACCGGAACAGTGCTGTAAGGATGCCTCTATGGGTATTGCAGAAAGGCGTTGCTTTATTTTTTTTTTATGAACATCTCTTAACTTTCACATGGTAACTCTCCTACTGACTGAAGACTGTACTTAATCGTCCTCTTTGACCAATGGCCTTCAACCACACACGGTGGTTTTATCGACTCCTTAAGGCCCCAGCTGCTTTCCTGTGAATGCACCCCATTGGTCAATACTCCTTGTGAAGTGTGGCTTCCACACATGGACACAGTATTCCAGGTGAGTGACCAGCTTGGGGCAGAGACTCTCACTGACCTTGCTCTGTACATTATATCTAGGTATATAGCCCAATATGCCTTAGATCAGCGGTTCTCAACCTGTGGGTCGCGACCCCTTTGGGGGTCCAACGACCCTTTCATAGAGGTCGCCTAAGACCATCGGAAAACACATATATAATTACATATTGTTTTTGTGATTAATCACTATGCTTTAATTATGTTCAGTTTGTAACAATGAAAATATATCCTGCATATTAGATATTTACATTACGATTCATAACAGTAGCAAAATTACAGTTATGAAGTAGCAACGAAAATAATTTTATGGTTGGGGGTCACCACAGCATGAGGAACTGTATTAAAGGGTCGCGGCATTAGGAAGGTTGAGAACCACTGCCTTAGATGATCTTTATAAAGATGTTTATGGAAGGGAGGTGGTTTCAGAAATCAAGGACATAGGACCCTTAGAATATTAATGCTAGGGTCTTTCAACTGGAGAAATTTTCGCAGGAGTAAAAGCCCCCCATAAGAACACTATAATTGTGAGTTTGTTATTTCTATGGGCTTTTAAGTTGCAATGTCATCCTGAAGATGTTCTTTTAAAATGCTCAGTTATCCCAGACATTCCTTATCTATATAGAATTCCTTGGACTGACCTTTGTATTTTCTTCTTAGAAATTTACCCAACTCTTCCAGCTCAGAAAGTCTAGGTTATGCTATTGTGATGGTTTTGGAGTTGTCAGCTCCATGGCATTAGGTGAAATTCTCCTAGAATATGCAGCTTTCTTCTATAAAGGAGAAGAATGTGGGTGGAAGTTGGAGTATTGAAAGAGCTCAGAACCAGTGTGTGGGAGTGGCTTCAGGAAACCATGGAATGAATGAGGCTATCATGAGTTATGGGAGTAAAAGCCACAGACTGGTGTGGCATTCCATGAAAAAAAATAAGCAGTATTGTGAGCAGGCTGTTGTTCAGTTGATAGGGCAGGTGGTAAGAAGCACTGCATTCTGCTCTTGTTCTTATAATACAGAGTTCTTGCAGTGTTTCCTCTTTGCCCTACTCTAATCCTAACTTAATAAATTAGACAAGCTGTTTAAACTTTGAGCTATGTTTTTCTTGTTGCTACAGATTATTTTATTACTAATGACTGTAACTTTCTCTCCATGGTTCTTTCAACTTCTTCACAACCTTCAGAGATGGTTCTGGAAGGGTGTATCCTAGGAACTGGTGATCTTTATCACCTTTGTGTGGCCTCCAGATGTGAGGACTGGGACATCCATCTAGCCGTTGACCAAATTCCCTTGAATGAATGTCAAGTTTCCCTTATTCAGCGTGGAGCTGCCAGGGCCTCCCTGGCCAGATGCATCACATGCCTTCTCCCCCTGCCAGTGGTATAGGGGAAGGATATAGGGTACAGACCCTTTTTCTTTTCTCTGGATAAAGGGTAACCAAGGAAGGTTGATGTGTCCTTGGACACACTGCCAAAACCTGCTTCTCCCACAAGTATGGAGCCAGGAGAAGTACACTGGACAATTTGGGTGACATTCAGAGGTCAGACCAACTCACCAAGTCCTCCTTCTTGAGCGAATGTGATGGTTTCACTAAGAACAATGTAGGGAGATTACTTCCGTAATGGCAGTGCACTCAGTAGCTTCTAATTCAGCCGAGCCAAACCTTCAACATAAATCATCCTTTGCCCCAGACATTAGCTTTCTACTCAAACAAAATCATCAGATTCTTACCTAAAATTATGCAAGGGAAGTTTTAGAGAAGCTCTGTGAAACAAGTTAATTTTTCCCCATTTCTTCCCTCTGCACCTCTGCAATCCCCATTGTTCAGCAAGGAATTACTGAGCAAACCAGGCAACCTCTCTTTCACTCCACAAAGAAATTTAGCAATCTCTGAGGCTGTGTCACCTTGCCAGCAGAAACACTGAATGGCAATAGCGCTGAGAGTCAACACTAATAGCCGACACCAAATTAAACTGCCAGACTTGGTGTGATGTAGCTCTGTCACCTCTTGACACTTCTGATGTGAGTACAGGGGCTTCTGCAGGAAATTCATCAGTTGTAGTTCATGACGCATCATCTTTACATATCTGTCCATCTACATTTGTCAGCAACAGGCAAGCCTCAAATGACTTCAGTGATTGGTATATAGATTGCACCACCTCCAGACATAGTAAACAGGGTTTTAACTCTTGGGGCTCCTAGCTCTGCCTTCCTCTCTGACAAGGCCTGGTTACTGGTGTTGCCATTCTCCTTGTGTTTCGGGCAGTGACTGACAAAGGCTGATTAAGAAGGTCTTTTTTTTTCTTCTTCCTACTAACCAGTATCTCAAATGTGTCTCTTCTTCCCAAGTTAGCTATTCTGCTGACACACATTCTCTTTGATGTGTATTTCTCGTGTCATCTAAAAACGTATATTTGCTCATTCATGGCTTGATTTACCATTGCTCTGATGGGGGACATTAGAATTTTAGTACAGGCTCATCTTGTTAATCATACTTGTTTGCTTCAGTGTGGAGAATGTCTCTGACTTTTCCGTGACTTCCAAGAAGATCATTTTCGTATAGTAATAGCTGCGAATGTGCCAAGATCAGGGGCTTGCTGATTTTAAAATATTTTCAGGTCCTTAAACTTCCCATTGGTCATTACTGCTTGAGGTATTTCTTTTGTACATTTGTCAACACCGTCAAGCTCTTACAAACTCTAGGAGTAAATTAAATAGCTTTCCAGGAGTTGCAGCTGTTTTTCCCCCCTTGCATCTCTTCCTAATGTGATTTCAGGAAGATTAATATATAATATATAAATAGTGGTGAGAGCATGAGAGTCTGATTTTGGTATCATATTACAAGCTCTATTTAAAAAAATTTGGGGGGTTTATTTCCATGATATCAGTTTCCATATGCATTTCTGTAGAATGAAAGTTATACTTGTTCACAAACCACGTGTGTGTTTATTGTTGTTTTTAAGGCTACTAATCTTTTCTTTTTTAAAAATTTTATCTTTATTGTTGAAAGTTTTACAGATGTTTCCCCTCTTTCCTCCCACTGACCCCCTCCTCCCCACTCCTGTCCCCTCATGCAACAGACTGAGGATTCTCAGAAGGAAGGGGGGCAGGGAGAGATTAGCCAAAGAACTTATATGCATATATGCATAACCCATGGACACAGGCTACTGAGCTTTTCTAGAGCAAGGATGATGCTTTCTTGTTTTCAGTTCTTTGATAGATAGAGCACTTGATGTTATTTTAGTGACGTGCTAAGGACTTGTAAATGCTGTCCTATGCTGGCTCATGGAGGCCAGTCTCAGGCCATGGGTAGTGTTGCCCCTCAGGCTTTAAGATTCATCTGGCATTGTTCTTACTTTTGGCACCCAGTCACTTCCTTGAATTCTGGACCATTGATGAGTTTCATAGTGTGTTTGAAGATAGCCCTGTGAGGACATCTCTGGTGGCTGTTGTCAGATGAGGCTTGTGGAGGGTGATAGGGGTGTAAGAGTGCAGTAGGGGTAGGCCCAATGCCCTAACGAGATGGCAGTCCATCCCAGAATGGGCTCTCTAAGGCAGGTAAAAGGCCTGTTTAAAAATCTTGAAATAGTTTGACTTTAGCTTTAAAATAATCTAGGGATGTGTGAGTGGGTAGAGGTGATAATGGTGAATTGAGGTAAAATAAGATTTTCTAGGAGTTGATAGTGTTGAAGCTGGGCATACATGGGGTTCATTAAATTATTCTCTCTTCTTTTATATATGTTTGACAATCTCCATAATACAAAGTTAAAAAATGATACTAAATTTCTTGAAACGTTGGATATGGCTCTGTGAATTGAAATGACATGGAATGTGACTATTACTAATAGTTAATTAATGTTAATTTTACTTGGATATCAAAAAGGATTCAATATGGCCTCTATTAGTACCTTTTGGACTTCCCTTGTTTCACAAACCACTGGTTTTGGTGTCAGACTTAAGCTTAGATCAGCTCTACACTGTCCAAGGAAAAGCCTGATATTTGATATACTTACCCAGGGTATTGACTGGCCCTTCAAGAATATAAGGCTTCCCCTTCCTCACCTTTTCACCCTGGAATTCTCCTGACAATTGTGGCTGTGAAGCAGGGCTGGCGGAGAAGGTAGGCAGTGCTTACAAGACTGTGTCCACATGAATCATGTTTTTACACATATATCATCCCATTTGAGATTCATTCCTGTTCTTCAGAACACTCAATTCAAAATGCAGGAAACCCATTACTTTTAATCAGGCTAGTCTATACATCAAGGCTGATCATGTCACGTAAAGGTTTATGGCATTACAGTAAGATTAAATATCTACCACAGTCCAAATTCCACATGGGTTTCATGAATTAACAGATATTAAGGAGAGCATGCTTAGGGTGAAGTCACAGAGCACAGTCTTCGACTGATTTATGTGCAGGACTACAATCAAATACAGCAGAGAGCAGGAACAAACTCCTGCTTCCTTAGATCCACTGTAGTAAGGTCAGGACTTAGTGTCCGGAGCCAGTTGAGAAAAAACAGGGAACACGACGGTGGAAGAACATGCTTTGAATCTGTCTTAAAACTCATCTTGGAACCCTTTGGAAGGAGAGTGCTTAGAAGGTGTTTTGTTTTTTTTTTAAATATATTTTATTGATTTTTTACAGAGAGGAAGGGAGAGAGATAGAGAGAGTTAGAAACATCGATGA